AAAAAAAAAAAAAAAAAACAGCCCGAGCATGTGGTTGCCTTTCTGCTTGGTGAGCAAGACGTGAGTGGGCTCCCTGGTACAAATTCCATTTGAAATTTCCTCAGTTGTTCCATCAGCTGCCACATTTCCACACTGGCAACACCGTTCTTTTTCAGCTGGGACGATGCCGCAGTGTGAAGGAGTTTGAGAAGCTGAACCGCATTGGAGAGGGTACCTACGGCATTGTGTGTGAGTGGCCAAGGCCAGAGCGTGTAGCCGCAGCTCGAGGCTGTGACAGTGTGGGACGAGACTGTCGAAGCAGCAGCTGCGTTGGGCTGGATGGGACTCAGACCCTGTACTCTAAACCAGGGCAGAAACTTGTTCGCAACTTTAATTCTTGGTGTAGTCATCACAAACGTTACACCATTTCTGGATAAACGGAAGCATCCAGTTGCTAATGCCCATAAACCAAATGTGTCACGCAGAGTAGAGAGAACTGTCAGAGAAGTCAAATACAGAACTTTCCAGAAGCGGCAGGAGCTGGACACGATGCTCATGTCTATAACCTCAGCAACTCTGGAGGGGTCACCTGAGCCCAGGTGGTTTTTCTTGTTTGTTTGTTTTTGAGATGGGTTTTGCTCTGTTGCCCAGGCTGGAGTGCAGTGGCATCACCACAGCTCACTGCAGCCTCGACCTCCCAGGCTCAAGTGATCCTCCCATCTCAGCCTCCTGAGTATCTGGGACCACAAGAGTACAGAATCACACCCGGCTGATTTTTTTATTTTTGGTAGAGATGGGATCTCCCTATGTTGCCCGGGCTGGTCTTGAACTTCTGGGCTCAAATGATCCTCCTGCCTCAGCCTCCCAAAGCACTGAGATTACAGGTGTGAGCCACTGTACCCGGCGAAGCCTAGGAGTTTGAGGCTGCAGTGAGCTGTGATTGTGCCACCGCACTCCAGCCTTGGCAACAGAGGGAGACCCTGTCTCAAAAAAACCAAAACCACCACACACAACTGAAGCTCATAACAGCTGTGAAATTGGCGTAGATCATTCTGGAAGCTGCACACATTGGCACGGTGTTGTGTAGAGCCATCTTCACACAAAATAAGGTTCACTTTTTTCTACATAGAGTACCTTACTTGCTTTTAGGACATTACAAGAGCTCAAAGCTGTGATCTGCGTGCCGAGGAGGTGCACAGGGAGAGCCTGGAGCCACAGAACTGAGTGGCTGGAGGCCAGGGTCCAGCACAGAGCAAAGCTGGGCACCCCCTGCGCAGTTCAGATGAGGAAACCCCCCCAGGGAGCAGGTGTCTCGGGCTGCAGACGTTGCACAGAGTGAGGATTGAGTGTCACGGGCAGGAGGTTGTCAGAGGAGAGAACGGGACCCCTGTGGCTCACGGAGAGGTTCCTGTGCAGCACTAGGGGGCCCACGAGGGGCATCGAGATGGACGTCGTCACTGACGCGTTTCCATTGCAGATCGGGCCCGGGACACCCAGACAGATGAGATTGTCGCGCTGAAGAAGGTACGGATGGACAAGGAGAAGGATGGTGAGCAGGAGGATGGGGTGCTGGGACCCCACACTGGGAGGAGGCAGAAAGGTGTGACAAGGAGGAGGATGGTGAGCAGGAGGATGGGGTGCTGGGACCCCACGCTGGGAGGAGGCAGAAAGGTGTGAGTTACCTGAAGTTTCCTCAGAGCGACTGCACGGTGGCTGTAGGGGGCCATCCTCTGGGCGGGTTCTGGCGTGGCCCAGCGCGTCACCCCCAGGTCCACACGCGGCCTCAGCTGTCTGCCGGGAGGGCTCTGCGGTCTCCATCCCCTCCTCCCCCTCCTGTCTGGTGAGCCCCCCTCCCTGCAGGCTCAGCTCTGCTGTCCCCTCCACCCCCAGCACCTGCCTGTGTAGGCAGGGCCCTGCCACGCCCCAGACGGATGTCCATGGTGGCTAGAGGTGCTGATGCGTATTTGGTCAAGAAAGAGTTAAAAGTGCTTATTGGGGTCGCCCTGATCCTCCCTGAGGTAGGGACAGCTGCAGCGACTGGCATCAGGTGTCCATGAAGCCCCGGGAGTGGCTGGGGTCGGGGCGTCCCCGTCATCACTGGGGTGGGGCTCGCTGAGGCCACCTCCCTCCCCAGGCATCCCCATCAGCAGCCTGCGGGAGATCACACTGCTGCTCCGCCTGCGTCACCCCAACATCGTGGAGCTGAAGGAGGTGGTTGTGGGGAACCACCTGGAGAGGTACGCGGTCTCCTGCTTTGTGCATCGGGCCCCAGGGAGCATGTATCTTGGGCTAGAGGTGTCGCACAGAGTGAGGACTGAGTGTCACTGGGCACGAGGTTGTCAGAGAAGAGATGGCCCGACCTCACTGCCTGGCCCAGCCCGTTGTCAGAGGCGGACACAGGTTGTCCTGCCCATGTCCCCTCCTGCAGCAGGGGAGGGTCCACTTTGACCCCTTAGAAGGCCGGAGGGTGGTATGCATCTTCTGTTTCTTCTAGCATCTTCCTGGTGATGGGTTACTGTGAGCAGGACCTGGCCAGCCTCCTGGAGAATATGCCAACACCCTTCTCGGAGGCCCAAGTGCGTGGCAGAGGGCCTGGGGTGGGGGAATGGGCTTCATGGGCCCTTGTGGTGCACATTTATAACAAAACAGGGCCACCTGGGGATTTGCAGAGCTGCTGCTGCCTCTGCCTCCGCCTCCCAGTGTGTCAGTGAGCTTCAGTGAGGTAGAATTCCTGTGGTGGGGGCATCTGGTGGGAGCATGCGGCCCCGGGGCCGAGAGCCTTGCGAGGGCACTGGTTTCCTGGGCTGTTGTGACTGCCAGTCCTGCTGGCCACTGTGGGTGTGGCAGGGCCGGGCCGGGCTTCCCTGCAGGCTCAGCCTGACTGGCACCTCTGACCCTCTACACAGGTCAAGTGCATCGTGCTGCAGGTGCTCCGGGGCCTCCAGTATCTGCACAGGAACTTCATCATCCACAGGTGGGTGACAGCTTGCCAGAGTCGGAAGCACAGATTCCGCTGAGGCCTGACTCTGCTGCCTCCTATGGAAAGTTACTAAAAGCTCAAGGGTTCCCAGCTGCAGTGGTTGCCCACTGCGCACTCCATTTGTGTTTTATTCTGAAACAGAGAAGGGGTCTCTCTGTGTTGCCCAGGCTGGTCTCAAACACCTGGGCTCAAGTGATCCACCCACCTCGGCCTCCCAAAGTGCTGGGATTACAGGTGGGAGCCACCGTGCCTGGTCATGCACTCCCATTTTTAAAAGGCTCAAACATTAAGAGCATGTATGGGTTCATGAAAAAAAAAATAATAAAGATACTAGGCCAGGCACGGTGGCTCATGCCTGTAATCCCAGCACTTTGAGAGGCCGAGGCGGGCGGATCACGAGGTCAGGAGATTGAGACCATCCTGGCTAACATGGTGAAACCCCGTCTCTACTAAAAATAAAAAAAAAAATTAGCTGGGCTTGGTGGCGGGTGCCTGTAGTCCCAGCCGCTCAGGAGGCTGAGGCAGGAGAATGGCATGAACCCGGGAGGTGGAGCTTGCAGTGAGCCGAGATCGCGCCATTGCACTCCAGCCTGGGCAACAGTACGAGACTCTGTCTCAAAAAAAAAAAAGATACTAAAAAGCCCAAACATGAGGAAATGTGCAGGAAGTCTATGGACCTCGGTGCTGTGGGGGAGGTCTTATCCCCCGGTGACCCTCGCCCTCTGGGAACCACCTGCCACTGTTTTTCTATCACAGGGACCTGAAGGTTTCCAACTTGCTCATGACTGACAAGGGCTGTGTGAAGACAGGTGGGTGCAACTTGTGCCAGGCCCTGTCCCTAGATTGTCAGCTCTCACTTGGTGACACACACTCCCCTTTCTGCTACAGCGGATTTCGGCTTGGCCCGGGCCTATGGCGTCCCAGTAAAGCCAATGACCCCCAAGGTGGTCACTCTCTGGTAAGTCCTTCTGAAGCGTGGTGGCCCCTGGGGACCAGGCCTGCCTGGTGGAGGGCTCCTTGCGACGTCAGGCTGAAGCTGCAAATGGCCTTGGGAATGTTAAGCTATAGGGTTTGTGCAAACTCATAAACGCTGGGTCTAGGACAGCCTCCAGGACACAGCAGGGCTGTCCCACAAAATGGTGAGAGCCGGGCTCAGTGGCGTCAAGGGACCTGCCTAGCTGAGACACACCTCGCCCTGAGAGCCAGCGAGAAACGCACTGTGGCCGGGAAACCGTCTCTGGAGGGAAGGCCGCTTCCAGACTGAAGGATGGGCAGCTTGCATGCTTTCCCTGGTTCTTCCTCTTGGATACTTTCAGCCAGACAGGGTCATGCTTAGCAAGGGCTGAACATCAGAGTTGGTCAGACACAGGTCAGGACGCCACATGTCGTGTCGTCCCCATCTGAGAACAGGTTGGTGGTGGCTGGTGTGGCTGTGTGCTGAGGGTCTGTGGTCCCTGCGACTCTCAGGACGCCGCTGCACGTGCCGCCACCGGCAGCCGTTGCTGTGTGCGCCATCTAGATCTGCAGGGCTTGGGGCAGAGGGTGGTCCCAGTTGGGACAGGTTTCCAGGTCACCACAGGCTCTCAGGGAGGCTGTGTCCTGTGGAGGCCTGGGCTGGGGGAGAGGAGCCGGCCGTACTGAGGTGGGTGCTGCTTTGTGCAGGTACCGAGCCCCCGAACTGCTGTTGGGAACCACCACGCAGACCACCAGCATCGACATGTGGTGAGGAGCGGTTACTGCTCCCGGGTCCTCTGGAAGGGCTGGGACGGGAGCTGGGGCACCTGGTTCCTGAGCTCAGCCTCAGGGAGGGGCAGGACTGCAGTGGGGTCTTTGCCAGCCTCCCACTCCCAGGGAGGTGGGCCTGAGCCTGGGAACCCAGGAGGAGGTGTGAGAACTTAGCTTGCTGTGGAGCACAGAGGTCTGCAGGAGGCACGCCTGCCCCTGCCCTTGTCACCCCGGGAGGCCTGCGGGGCCCGCGTGGGGAGCCAGTGGTCCCTGCCTATCCTTCACAGTGTCCCTGACCCAGCGTGCCTCGCGCTGGCGGGGTCAGCAGAGGTCTGGCCGCAGTGAGGTCCGCTGTTCTCCGCAGGGCCGTGGGTTGCATCCTGGCCGAGCTGCTGGCCCACAAGCCCCTTCTCCCTGGCACCTCTGAGATCCACCAGATCGACTTGATCGTGCAGCTGCTGGGGACGCCCAGTGAGAACATCTGGCCGGTGGGTGTCCTGGGCAGACCCGCAGCCCCCTGCCCGTGCCCACGCCCTCTGCGCCTCAGCTCCTGCCTCCCATAGGGCTTTTCCAAGCTGCCGCTGGTCGGCCAGTACAGTCTCCGGAAGCAGCCCTACAACAACCTGAAGCACAAGTTCCCGTGGCTCTCGGAGGCCGGTCTGCGTCTGCTGCACTTCCTGTTCATGTACGACCCTAAGAAAAGGTGCTGTCTCTGCCCGGGGGGCAGGGCCCCCACCACCCGCACTGTCGAGACCGTTTCCCAGAGCCCAGCCTCTCTGCGGCGGAGAGGCCGCTCCCCAGGCACAGCCGCTCAGCGGTTTCTGGCCACCAGGCTTCCTTTGAGAACTTCAATCACAGCTGCTCAGCTGGGTGGGAGATGAGGAAGCCGGACTCACGAGTCGCACTAATGCAGGCTGCCTCCTCCAGGGCGACGGCCGGGGACTGCCTGGAGAGCTCCTACTTCAAGGAGAAGCCCCTACGTGAGTGTCCAGGGTTCCTCAGACTCGCTCTGCAGGGAGCAAAAACGGCTGGGAGCCCGTTTCGCCGGGGGTGGGTGGTGGAGAATTGGCCTGGTGCCCTCACTGACGGCACCCCCTTTCTAGGGTAAGAGGACAGGGGCATGTGGAGGCGCAGACAGCCGAGGGCCAGGTCCAGAGGCAGAGCTGGACTCAGACCTGGGCCTGCTTCCCCTATCTGGGGCCCTGCCCCGCCCAGCACTGAGCCGCCCTTCTCCCTGCAGCCTGTGAGCCGGAGCTCATGCCCACCTTTCCCCACCACCGCAACAAGCGGGCCGCCCCGGCCACCTCTGAAGGCCACAGCAAGCGCTGTAAACCCTGACGGTGGGCCTGGCATACGCCTGTATTCCCACACCATGTCTTCCGGGCGGCGGTGTCCGTGAAGGGTGCTAGGAGCTGACGAGGTGCCTGGGACCCAGCTCATCCCCTTGACTGACTTCCTCCACTGACTTCCTCCCACTGTCTGCCCGGAACCCACTACTGCCCCCAAAAACGCAGGGCATGGATGCAAGGTGACACGGGGGCACCCTGGAAGGGCGGGTCTGGCGGCCCCATCCATGGCCGCAGGGGTCCTGCTGTGTTGGAAACATGGGACCACTGAGGGGTCTCGTGCGGCTCTCCTCGCTGTACTGGAAGCACGGGACCACTGCTTCTTGGGAGGAGCGGCGGCTGCAGTCCCCCCACTGTCTTCGAGTTGTGGACGCTGGCCTGGGATCGGCGGGCCCAGAAGACCTTTGTATCCCCCCTCAGTTGCCCGGGGTGCCCTGTGCATGGGTCGGCTGTGGTGACCCCAGGTGGGCCTGGCAGGACTCCAGATGAGGACAAGAGGGACAAGGTGTGGGGTGGAAGCCACAACTGAGGATGCCCCAAGACCACCGAGAGCCCTGGGCTGGGGGCTGAGCTATATCCCTGCTCCCCACGGGGGCCCCAACGGGGGGTCATGGCTCAGATGCTGAGCAAAACTGTAGGCTCTTGTTGGATAAAAGCTTTCTTAACAGACATGGTTTCACCAGCGTTTAATGTGCTCTGATGCTGACCATCCCTCTGTGCTGGGGAGGAAGGGGGTGGGGAGGAGGGTAGGGAGAGCAGGCTCAGCTTCCAGTGGATGCACCCTGCCCCCTCCCTCGCCAGACCCGAGGTTAGGGCAGAGCCATCTTCTCTCCAGCCTGTGGGCTGCACCCAAGGGGAGGGGAGGGACATCGTTACCACTGGACTGACCAAGACCCAGCCGCCTGGGTGTCCTGCCTACAGCCCCTCCACCCAGCAGCAGGGACGCTCAGGCCTTCCCAGCCGTCTACTGCTGCCTGTGCCTGCGGCTCTCGGGCACCTCCACATCTGGTTTGAGGTCAGGTCCTTTCCTGTCTGTGGGCCCAGCTGCTGAGCCACCCAAGGGGAGGGCTGGGGTCCCCGAAGCCAGGTCAGCCATGCACCCAGCAGATCCCCCCAGATCGGCCCCAGCAGAGCTTGGCGGGGGGACCTCAGTGTCACCAACAGGCCCTTGAGGACACCCGTGTGGAGAATCCCTGGGACACGTGGAGGACCAAGTCCTGAGCCCCATACTGCAGGGAGCGGGCCCGGAGCCGCAGGCCTTGGGGCACAGGGTCCTTCTCAGAGACAGGTTCAGGCACTGGCTGGAACAGGCTGGACCCCTCTGCCCAGCACCTGTGGGCATCTGGGTTCCGAGGGCAGGGAAATGTGGAAAGGCTCCTGCTGGCCAGCTTAGGCCTGCTGCCCTTGGAGCTTTCCATGGACAGAGTCCCACCTCCAGCAGGGGTTGGCCTGGACTCTTCAACCCCCTGCTGTGCCCAGAACTCCCCCAGGGACAAGGCGACCAGAGGCCCAGACCCCTCGCCAGCAAAGAGAAAAGCACCACGGGAGCTGTCTCCCAAGAGCCCTTGACCTGGGGCCCCGCTGGCCTAGGGCCGGGCCCCGGGACTACTGTAGAGCAGAGTGTCCATCTGTGCACGCTGCAGCCACAAGCGCCGCTGGGCGTCGCCAAGCAGCACACGCAGCGAGTGGCCCGGGCGGCAGGTGGGCAGGGCTGCACAGTGGGCAGCGTGCAGCTGGCGACAGGTGTCACAGCAGAGGGTGGGCAGGGCACCAGGGGACAGGCAACTGTGTGCCTGGTAGCCTGGGGGCTCAGAGACAGACCTATAGGCTGAGGCTGGTACCCCCTCTGCCCGAATACGCCTCGGGCTGGCCCCTGCAGAGCTTTCAGGGGTGGCCAGGTCCCCAGGCCTGCTCAGCTCACGGCGCAGAGAGACGAAGGAGAAGGCGGAGGGTTCTGGTTCTAGCCCCTCCTCCAAGGCCCCATAGGGTGGGCTGCCGGCCTGCGGCAGCTCCTCAGCTGGGGGCTCCCAGGCCCGACCCCCAGTGCCCCACAGTTTGGCACTCTGCTCCCACAGTGGCGGCCTGTAGGCCACCTCTGCCGAGGGCGAGTCAGGGCCTGGTGACGGCTCCCCATACAGGCTGGCGTCCTCCGACCCCTCGTCCTCCTGCAGGTCCCGATATAAGTCCAGTGGGGCCCTGTAAGCAGCAGGGGAGCCCCGGGGGGGCAGGGGTGGAGGCTCCTCATCCTGGGCCAGCCGCTGTTGCAGCCAGGCCACACAGGAGGCCACGTCCCCGCTGGCACGCCGTGCCTGCAGCAGCTCCTCAGCTGGTAGTACACTGGTGCCCAGCTGGGCCAGCACCTCGCCCAGGATCTCACACTCCAGCCGGAGAGCGAAGCAGCCCAGGGCCACCTGCACCAGCTGGCAGGCGGGGGGCAGGGCGGTCACCATGAGCCGGTGGCTGTCCCTGCGCACGTAGCCCATCTTCTGGAAGCTCTTCAGGAGGAGGTCGTCTGAGAGCACACCCTTCAGCACGTGCACGTAGCCCCCGGAGAATGTCTGCAAGGGAGCGGCCCGGTCAGTGCTGCCCACCCGCCCATAGGCCGGACCCTAGGATACAGTGGGTCCAGGATCTGTCGGCTCAGGCCTTGGCAGCTTCTGATGCTCAGGCCCAACCCCAGAGACTAGGCTTAGTCAGTCTGAGCCAGGCCCAAACACGAGAATTTGTTGTTGTTGTTGTTGTTTTTTTGAGACAGAGTCTCAAAAGTGCAGACCACTGGTGCACTGTCTGGAGTGCAGTGGTGCAATCTCAGCTCACTACAACCTCTGCCTCCCAGGTTCAAGCAATCCTCCTGCCTCGGCCTCCTGAGTAGCTGGGATTACAGGTGCACGCCACCACGCCCCGCTAATTTTTGTATATTTAGTAGAGACGAGGTTTCACCATGTTGACCAGGAAGGTCTTAATCTCTTAACCTCATGATCCCCCCGCCTTGGCCTCCCAAGTGCTGGAATTACAGGTGTGAGCCACCACGCCCGGCCGAATTTCTTAAAATTTAATGGAAAAAACAACTAATACATTAACCTGGCTCACGAATCAGAACAAACTAAAGAGCTTACTGAGAAATTCCACTGTTCTGGGTTCCCACCACTCCCTTCACCCGTGGAGACGGCCTAATCTAGTTTTGAATGTATTTGCCCATACAGATTTTGTTTGCCCCTCTTAGGAGGTAGCCCACCCCCGTTTTTTTTCACCTCTTTTCTTTGTAAGGTTTCTAACCAAAGCTAGACAGGTAGCCTCTTAAACGTGTTGTTCTGAACTTTGTTCTTTTCCATTATATTCTAGAAGATCAGGACGGAAGCTGTAGCATTCATTTCCCCACTGTGTAGTATTCCACCATGGGGGTGTAGCATTTGTTTTCAGAGCCCTACAGAGGCTGTCCGTGCACTGGGCTGACAGCCATGGGATAGCAGAAGGGTGAGTGCTTTCTTTTTTTTCTTCTTTGAGACGAAGTCTCGCTCTGTCACCAGGCTGGAGTGCAATGGCACAATCTTGGCTCACTGCAACCTCTACCTCCCAGGTTCAAGTGATTCTCCTGCCTCAGCCTCCTGAGTAGCTGGGGTTACAGGCGCGCACCACCACACCCGGCTAATTTTTGTTTTTGTTTTTGTTTTTTTTTTTGAGACGGAGTCTTGCTCTGTCGCCCAGGCTGGAGTGCAGTGGCCGGATCTCAGCTCACTGCAAGCTCTGGCTCAAGTGATTCTCCTGCCTCAGCCTCCTGAGTAGCTGGGGTTACAGGCGCGCACCACCACACCCGGCTAATTTTTGTTTTTGTTTTTGTTTTTTTTTTTGAGACGGAGTCTTGCTCTGTCGCCCAGGCTGGAGTGCAGTGGCCGGATCTCAGCTCACTGCAAGCTCTGGCTCCCGGGTTCATGCCATTCTCCTGGCTCAGCCTCCCATGTAGCTGGGACTACAGGTGCCCGCCACCACGCCTGGCTAATTTCTTTTTATATTTTTAGTAGAGACAGGGTTTCACCGTATTAGCCAGGATGGTCTCGATCTCCTGACCTCGTGATCCGCCTGTCTCAGCCTCCCAAAGTGCTGGGATTACAGGCGTGAGCCACCGCGCCCGGCTAATTTTTGTATTTTTTAATAGAGATAGGGTTTCACCATGTTGGTTAGGCTGGTCTCGAACCCCTGACCTCATGATCCGCCCACCTCGGCCTCCCAAAGTGCTGGGATTACAGGCGTGAGCCACCGCGCCCGGCCAAGGGTGAGTGCTTTCTAGCCTACAGTTAAGTGAAGAACTAAAGGAACCTCAGGACAATCACTGCCAGCGTCTCCTGACTAAAATTCCCTAACTCAGGCACTCCCAGCATCTAATGGCATGACACGGCCCATGTGTGGAGCACCCAGGGCCTGCAGCACTCAGCTCGGGGCTTCGATTCACTCCTCTGGCCCCATGAACTGGACTGTTCTTGTGTCCCTGTCTCAGGGGAGGAAAGGGGCTGAGATTAGCTAACTTGGCCAAGGCCTCGCGGCCAGGAGGCAGCAGGACTAGGTCCAAACCAGGGCTGCCCAGCACTGAAGCCGGTTATTCCCCTGCCCTGCCCCGCTGGGAGGCCTCAAGGGCGGGCCTGTCCGTCTCTCTCATGAATGAGAGTCCTGGCCCCTCCGACCAGCAGGTGTCCCCGGGGAGCCGCGGAGAGACGGCCGCTGCCATGGCAACCGGCGGAGGCGTAGCTCGCCCACGTGCGCAGTAACGTCATCGGCTTCCTACTCTTCCGAATTAGCTCAGAGCTCCCGGCGGCCCTGCCCCCTCCTGCCGCCAGGAGCTCACCTAGAGGGGCCAGGCCAGCCCTAGGGCACAGCCTCCAGCCCTGGGCACAGCCTCCGGCCCCAGGCCGAGGAGTTCACTAGGTCTGTGCCAGCCCTGGGACTTCACAGGGATGCACCCATCTGCTGTCCTCTGCAAATGGGATTGGCCCATATCCTAGAGGAACTAGGATGACCACGGGACCTCAAGTCCCTTCTGTGCCCCTGTCCTAATATTTCCATGGCAACTGGGGCCGCGAGGCCTCTTAGGGAAGACACTGACGCAAGCTCTCAGGGCAGGACCCCGTAGGCAGCACCCAGCCTGCCCTCGCCCACCCCATGATCTCAGCCCTAGGAGTGGGTGCCCCCACACGCCCACGACCCCCCAGCGCTCGGAGCCTTGAGAAGCCCACCGGGCACTGAGGATGCCTCTCCCCCGAAAGGCGTGGTCCCCCATAGTCGACGGCCCCGCGACCCGCAGGCCAGGACGAGGGGCGCGCTCCTCCTGACCTGGCGCCTACCTTGATGGTGGTGAACTCCTTCCTCCAGGGCAGCAGGTACAGGTGCACCGCGGCGAGTTCCAGCAGCTCGAAGGCGCGGGCCAGGCCGCGTAGCGCGGGCGCCA